ATTAATATGTATGCTAAAAAGGTAAAATAATGGAAAATGGCAGCCATTTTAAATTGTAATAGCTCAAAAATGTGTACAATATTTAGTTAACTGTTGCTGTCATTGTTATGAGTGGATTTCCAATTGAATACTGCATTTTAATGACATAAATTTACAATATTAGTGACAATTTTAGGAAAAAAATGGCGGCCATTTTGAATTGGCTGGCAACCCCCCTTACGTATGAAAAAAAAATGTTGCACATACTTTTTTGATTTATCTATGTCTACTCTACATCATATCCAATTTTTAAAAAATATAGCAAAAAAAAATGCACCCAACCAAAGTTTGCTGGACTATAAGACTGTCGGGCTACTGCGTCGGCCGACGCTGTCTGAGTTGCCTTTAAGATGATCCCCTAGACATTCACCAACATTACAGGATAGCATGTAACCTTATCTCTCTCAACAGATGATAGTTTGATCGTTCAATCTGGTAGAACGTTTTAATTCAATATACTTTAATTCAATAGAAATTTTTTTATATTCAATAATTAAACACTGGTGATCTTCAATGCTGTAGGTAGGCTAGCTAGCTTCGCTCGCAGGCTGCGCCCCCCCCCCACCCCCACTTTTCAGGCAGGCTGGATCCGCCCCTGGTTGTTTATGAATACAAAGTTTAAGTTGCAACTACAGTACTTAGAAGTTCTAGCTATAATAATAATAATAATAGATGGATTTATATAGCGCAAATAAACGAGGTCTCTATGCGCTAGACAATAATGAAGTCAAGAACACACAAAAAAAAAAGCTGGGGGGGGGGGAAACAAAAAAAAAAAAAAAAAAAAAAAAAAAAAAAACAAAAAAAAACCACCAAGCTAGCACACAAACCGTAAGTATGGGGTTACACCATCACCGCCAACCGGAGATCTGTGTTTATGTACTCCGGTTACCTGGAACAAAAAACACTAGCAAGCAAGGTGAAACAGAGAAAAAGAAAAAAAGAAGAAAACAGTGGCTATAAAGAGGCAAATAAAAAGGTTTTGAGTCGCTTTTTAAAGATGTCAATTGACGCTGATTCACGGACTTCAACGGGTAGTGCATTCCACATTGTTGGAGCCGCAACACGAAATGATCTCTCACCATATGTTTTAGAACGGCACCCAGGAACAAGTTGATGAACTTGTAGTTGATCTGAGTGCTCGGGAACAAGTGGATGAGCGTAGTCTGAGAAGATCTTGCATGTATGTGGGTGATAGGTTATGGAGCGATTTGTACACAAGAAGAAGAATTTTGAAGTTGATACGCTGTCGAACTGGAAGCCAATGTAGGTCTTTGAGTATTGGCGTGATGTTCTGTGACTTTGGGGTGAGCTTAATTAGACGTGCGGCCGAGTTAAGATGAAGTATCTGGAAGCCCAAATAGGATACCATTGCAATAGTCAAGTCTTGAAGTTAGAAGATCATGAAAAAGTTTTTTAGTTGCGTCTTCGTTCAGGAAGCGTCTGATTTGCCTAATATTACGGATGTGATAATTGACAGACTTACAAACGTTGGTAACGTACATGTTGCTTTAGAGACATCATGTTGTCAAAAGTCACACAAACATTACGGACTTGCAACTTTAATAATCAAGACTAATCAAGTTGCATTTAAAATCAAATGTATTATAATTTTAATTGCGGTAGTTTTGGGAACGTGTTGTTACATATGTTCTCTTTCACTTGCATACCGTATCTATTCGAATAAACGCGACAAAAATATGCCCATGGAAATTTATTTTGATGGGGACGTGTCGAGGGAGAGTTTAAATAGAGGCGTTTATCTAAATACAGTATCATAGCTTAATGATCAATAAATTTTATTCTATATGAGAATACAAACTTTCAACAGATTTTTTATTGTTATGCTTAAATTTCGGGTGAATTTAGTTGTTTAGGAAGTTATGAGCAACTCGCATTTTATTTACTAAGGACATGTATACATCGAAGGCTTACGTAGGCCTACGAATGTATCATGTACACTCCATATATTTGCGCACACTCATGCATCAGGGACGTATCCAGAGGGAGCAGTGCGAGCCCCCCCCCCCACACCCTCTCTTTGTACACAGTGTTAGTATTTTAAAGCTTTTTTTTGCTAGCCAATACAAATTCTTTCATGGGATCACTCAAAATGAATTACTTCTAAATATGTAAATATGCATCAGCACACATTATACACATAGGCCTAAGCGTGAATTGTTTACGCAAAAAATAAATATAAAATGATCATGGTATATTATACATCATTTTGTTGACCACGCTATGTGATAGTAATAGTCAACTCCGAGGACGACTTGTCACTTTTTATGCGATTACAAATAAAAACTAAAAAACAAAAAAATATCAAACAAAACACGGATTTTGGTGATGAATTAAATGCTGTATATTCTAATTGACTCCTACTATATCATGTTCGTGACCCGTGCCTTGATAAAAACCCACAATAAACGTCTACTAATAAACGATATAAACTATAATCCAAAAAATAAAATATTTGGGAGTATATAACGGCTTTACCGCTCGGGGTGGATTTATCAAACTCAACGAAAAAATCAGCTTAAATTCGTCTTAAATCCATAAATCCCAGGCCATGTCTTTTAAGATACAGAGATGTGATAATGTATGGTTCAGTTTTGGTTTTATCCTTTTGTAAGCTGTAATAAAGTTTTGTTTAATAATACTACTAGGCCCTAATTAGTAATAATAGTGATGATGACGATAATGATGGTGATAATGATAATACATACGGTAATAATATTAATAATACTAAAAAGTGAGGAAAATTGTGCTAAAAGCGAAAAAGAAATTTGTAATTTGTCCAATCATTGGCTTTTCCCAGCAGTAGCTGAAAAAGTCATTGTTTTTATAATTATTGTTGTAGTTAAAATTTAGTAAGCTATTATAGTTAGGCCTAAGTTGTCCTGTGAACCGATTTTACCTAAACAGGCTTGCAGAATTATTCTGGGTCAGCAATTTATCTCATATCATCAGGCATTAGCTTTACTTAATATTTAACAATTAAAGGTTAGAAGGGAATCCTCTACTTGAATTTTCTAAGGCCTCAAAAAAATCTTACCTGATGCTTTAACTAAAACTGGGGAGAAGCTTGCGGTAGGGTTTTTAAAGAACTGAGGACCGAAGTGAATTCTTTTGTAAAACTAAAAGGTTCAGAAATTCTTGCTATCCAGCTCTTGCCGTCTAATTAATAAAAACAAGTAACTAAAACATAATCGCCCATATCCTCCTTCCCCTGACTGGTCTTGGCATGGCTCTGTGATTTGATAATTTTCTATGTTGTATTTTTTGAATGTTTGTCACTGTCATCGGTTGTGATGAATCTTTTGTAGTGGCAGTCTTTTTTTTTTTTTTTTTTTTTTTTCTCTTTTTGGTGAACTTTATTGGTGTTTTTTTTTTTTTTTTTTTCTTTTCTCTTTTTGGTGAACTTTATTGGTGTGTTGCTTTAATGTGTTTTTTGGATTCTGATGTGTTTCTCTTGAGGTTGTTGGCTTTTCTGTTGTGAATTATGGAAAGTTCTCTTTTTTTATATAAATCTTATATTCCAATTTTTAATAATAATAATTATAATAATAATTTAAATTATCATAATAATTGTAATTTATTATAATAATTATGGATTTGTATAGTCTCAATTTTTATATTATACTTATTTATATACTTTTTTCAATTGTTAATAATAATTATAATGATATTAATAATAATTTTCATAAGTGATTCTAATTATAATTGTAATTATAATAGATTTTGTATGAGGATTATAACTTCTTGATGTTTTTTGATGTGTGTCCCGTAAAGTTTTTGGCTTTCATGTTGTGAGAATTTAATATTGGATTTTGAATGAGTGCAATTTTAATTAGAATAATTAGTAACGGAAAATCATGAATTTTATCGAAGTTACGTTTAACTACTGTATTACCAAAAGCATATGGTCATGAACTATACCTCCATCTTTGTCAAAGCCACTGAAAATGGGGTTTTAGGTGGTGAATCCATTTGGTTTCTTCGCAGCGTCTATCCTTAGTAGATTTGAATTCGGAACATATAAAGCGCATATCGTTAATGTCATGATTACCAGAATTAAATTGTAAAGACACAATATGATTAGAGTCTTTATTTCTTATGGTGGTTTTGTGGTTATTAAAACTAGATCTAATGTAACACCGGTTTCTCCTACCCCTATGTTTGAAACTCGAGCGTTGCGGTGTTTGGTGTAATATACACGATTTTAAAATTTGACAATTTTACTGAGTGGAGAAACTACAGAAAACGAACCAGAGCGGCGCCTTTGTTATTGTTACCCCGCGCGGACGGGGTAAAGTTGCTCTCCGTGTACCCACAATGCATTTCGAACGGATGTTCCACTATATTGGAAAGCTGCTCTATCTTCTATTTATTATCTTTGCCTCTATTCATTACCACTGATTCGATTTTCTTTTTCGTTTCGCGTTAGCTATACGAACCGATTTCGGATTCGGTGTGAATCTTGCAATTTTGCAAGAGGGCGCCGTTCATGCGTTATTACATAATTTGCACGCGTAAATCGCGAAGAACGCTATTTTGTGTTCATGATCTTTGCAGAAAAGTAATCACATTTGGGAGAGGGCGTCCTAGTTGTTGCCATGAATCTGAGATAAGGTGTTCGCGTGCGTTACGTCAAAATTCGTTTCGACGACGCTTCTAATTGTTACGTAATTGTTGCGTAAAAGTCGAGCGGTGTACGCTATAATCAAAGCGTCAAAGTTCAAAAGTTTTCACTTTCAAAGAGGGCGCCCCGTACACTGCGTTTTTGCTCTGTTTTTGCCTTAATAAGTGGAAGAGCGCCCACACGGATATCAGAGCAGAGAATCCAGAATAGGCATCGAAAATTATTGTTATTATTATTATTATTATTATTATTATTATTATTATTATTATTCACATTTATGCATTTTAGCATAGTTTATGTTAATCTGTATTATGTGATCAACAGGATTGATGTAGCCATCTGAAGCTAAAATGGCATGCGTTTATAATATTATAGTAATTATATTACGCGGTCTGGGCCTATTTTATTAGTCAATTGTTAGAAACCACTACAGACATACTTTAGGATATTTAGATTCGTGCTAAAGAGGAAATGTAAATCTAAATAGACAAGAAACAGGTTCTGAGGGAGTAGGTAACTCCTTTCAAATTATCCGATTGTGGGTCAATTCAACGATACACACAGTGCCAGTCTCGTAAAATTTAATCCTCACATAAAATGACCAGACCTGTGTAAGTTCCGAGCCCATTAAGAGTATTAGATTTGATTTAAATTACTTGCATTTCAAGAATATACAATTTTAAGACCATTAAAGATGTATTTGTCCCTTGAACAAAAAAAAAATCATTAAAAAAATAATTTTGAAATTAACTTGCTCTCATTTTGCAGTAGGCCTGACATACAAATCATTAACTTGAACATATGAACTATTGAAGTTAAACTTTGTGTAAGGCCTACCATGATTTTTAAACTAGATAATTACAATAAAATAATAAAACACTTCCAGTTACTGAAAGTGTTTTTATCATTTTTCGCTGTAAAATGATGGGTTAACGTTTTTTAAATACACTGATTTCTATGTTCTCTATGGATTTTTTGGGTATTTTTCATAGAACATTACACCTTTAAAATGTAAAAGGCATTAAAACATTAAATATGCTTGTTAAATATATTACAAATTCAGGGATCAGGGGAAGATCTATAATTTTTCGTACAGGGAGTACTATCAGAATAGATCATTTAGCGGCAGGAGCGCTAGCAGCAGTGGTATAACGAAAGAGACGGAGGGAGAGTGACGAGTCTCAATGAAACACTTCGTATTTGTATGTTTTCTTATTTCAGTAGATGGTTGGTAGGCCCTATACAGTACATTGAAATTTGAAAATGTTGGGGAAAAACAGAAAGAGGGAGTACTCGTTCCTGTTGGATCCGGTCCTGTAAACGGGAGGGGGACACCTCCCCCCAAAAGTCGTCTTCCTGTCTCCAACCCCCTCCCCACTGGAAACGGTCGAATAAAAAAAAAACATCGCTTAAGTAGTTAAATATCACCTTATTTTGCAAGATAGCGCCCCCGCACTGAACCACGATTCACAGTAGAGGCCCTCATCCGGCGACCGTAGCAATAGGAGCTCTCTGCGTACATTCGGATGTTTAGTCTGCAGGGAGGTTCCGGTGGTCCCAAATATGATCTATATCCTTTTAATGGTTAATAATAATGGTTATATTTTTTAGACCGAACAACCTTTTTACTTGGTACAATTCTTTGTAATAGTACTATTTCAAACGAAGGCATTCAGTAACATACTATAAATGCAAATGACTACCGTAACTATTTGCAGTGGCGTGTCAAGGAGGTACGTTCCAACACCCCACCCCCTCCCCCAGAAAAATACACGCTCCCTAAATCTACCCACACCCAAAAAATCACGCTTAAGTATACAGGTAATTCATGTATGTATGAATCAACTAGGAACCAATCCGAGAGATGCTGGGCATTGCCATGAGTCTCAGACAGAACCAAACTAGTGGATTTTGAAACAGTATTGTAAATAATAAATAATAATAATTTGCGACAAATTTGCTTGACAACAACGGAAGGAAACGGACAAGCATTTATTTATATTTATTCATTTGTTATTTATACTGAGTTTCCTCTTCAGTAACAAATTACTGTTCTCCCGGAGGGCCCAGTACACATAAAAAAGTCCACGACATAAGACAAACATACACACATGATGCTTTACACAAACTAAATCTCAATATGAGGTTTAGGGAGTGGAGTTGTTTTGGTCGTGAGAAAAAGTCCTGCAACTGACAGGAATTGAACCCATGATCCTGGGATTGGAAGGCAAGCATCTTAACCACCAAGCTATTCAACTCCACTCGTTCGAGAGAGTTGCCATAAAAAACAATAAAAGAAGCGGAATAAAGAAAAGACGATAGATGAGTAGCAAGCCAGAATGTGAAAAGCATTGATAAAAGATGGTAGGTAGTAAGCATCGTGTAAAAATATGGGATAAGATGAAGAAAATTAAGGAAAAAATATAAACAAAAATATTACAAATTCAAATTTAAACTGCAAGGCTTTTAATGACTATTTTACCAATATTGGAAAAGAAATTCCACTCATTCGATGAACCAAACAAACTGGAAAAATCCAGAATGCAGATACCAATACTCTTTTAAAAATGACGGGGGAGATACAGCCTGCAGGAGAAGCCCCGGTGGAGTAACTACAGGGAAAAGGAGCTTTGGTTGCACGTCCCCCAACACCCCACCCCCAACCCACCAAAGAAAAAGATTGCGCCCTCACCCAAGATACGCCTCATAGATTCTACACTGTAGAAGCGTGTGGAGCAGCGTATAAGGCGTTGGACTTTTAATCGAAAGGCAGGGATGTCAAGAAAACCTGCAATGATCATGCCATCCTGTTAATCTCAATCGGCCGATGGCTAACAAGCTAACTACCACCACTAATTTCATCTGCTATTCTGCTGTTATGTAATACTGTACTCACAACATTCTTGTCATGACAAGCCATGCTCTCTGGACGATTATCTTTTCTGCCGCACCACCATTTGAAATTTGCGGTTTCCTGATGTCATTTTATAATCGTTTTTTAATTCAAAATGTGCCTCTTGAATTTAATACGTTCTCATAAGAACCCCTCGATTTTCATCTATTTCCGTAAGCGCCCCCTGAATTTCCACACTGTTTTGATAAGCGCCCCGTTCGAATAAGCGCCCCGTTTGAATAAGCGCCCCTCAAAAAGTGCCAAAATATTTTAAGCGCCCGGGCGCTTATTTGCGCGAGGCGAAGTTATCATTAATAACTTGTCATAGAACATTATTAGAAAAAAGACGAGATTATGCTATAGCATGTTTAACACTGCACCTCCACGATATGCATAGAAATTGATATCACAATCTTTGCTACCGTCTTTGATGCACTTAGTAATAAGTAATTACAATAGTATAACACTAAAATTGTTTTGTAAGCTTAATTGAACTTTGAGTTAATGCTTCATGCTTGATATAGTTAATTAATTGTCTTCATCTAGCACATATCCTCCAAACAACTCTACATCAACCTCAAAATCGATTAGGCCTACAGTAAGTGGTGAACATTATTCATTAATCCAACAAACCATTGGATTGGTGCTAACACTAAAGCCAGATATTTTGAGGCTACTGTTTTTTGGCAGTGCGCCTATTTTTATTTATCGAATTTTGTAATCAGTTTTGTAATACTGAGGATGTCATGGCTCTCACTGATGTAAAAGCATTTTTCGTTTTTCGAATACATATTATCAATAATATTATTATCACGGTACAAAACTCATCGGCGCTACAGTAATGGCCATGACTGCAGTAAGCCAAAAATGTATTATAAATCATGATTTATTGTATAATTTTATACATGTGCGAAACCAGAATAGGTAAAAATCTAACACAACATTCAACGTTTGGTTGTCGTTGACTTCAATTCCGTTCAAATGTCATATGGTATGTTGCATTAAATTAATAATGCTTAACATTGACATTTGTCATAGCTGGCTTATATATAATGCACGGATTGAACAGCATGGGAGTGTTTAGTTGTTCTGATTACTTATTACGTCACGCTGCCTCGGATATGCGTTTCGTATCTTGCAGTGACACAATTATGACTCCGCCTTCCAACACCAAATTTGGAAGACCTATTCGCGCTCCCTGACAGCTATTCAAACAAACTCGGCAATAAATATCCTCGTTCGCTAAACGGCGAAGTCATACACACGCTCTGATGCAAATCAACGATACCTTCTCTTCGTAATTTCTGAAGAAAAAAAACCCAGTAGATTTTATAGCAAAGGATTCTCCTATTTTTTGAAAGTTTCCAGGCAACGCATTAATTACCGGTACTGTTGGTGAAGTAACCGGAATACTATGCTCGCGACAGCGGTGTTAAGTTCGAATCCGGCTCAATTTGTTTTGGTTTTCACTACGTCCATTTTAGTGGTGATTGTTTTAGTTCAACGATGGAGTAAAAATCGGATGCAGAACTTGCCACCGAGTCCATGGGGATTACCGTTTCTTGGTAACATTTTAAGTATTGGTGAGAACCCGCACTTAACTTTCATGGAAATGGCTAAGGTATATGGCAACGTGTTTAGCGTGAGAATGGGGAGGCAACGAGTTACAGTGCTTAATGGTGCTGATGTCATTCGTGAAGCGTTAGTAAAGCAAGGACGTGTATTCGAGGGACGACCACATTTAGCACTTACTAGTATGCTTACAGATGGACAAGGTTGGTATAGATTTTCCCCACTTTCCTTTTATGTCATAAATATTCCATGATTATGACTAGATCACCGCCGTAGACTCTCACGAATGCAAGGTTTAAAAGTTCATGATTCGTGTTGTTAAAGTCACCTGTTCATTAGAGAAAACTTTATCGTATTATTTATTTTAAATTTAGCAAATATGTTTTTAATAGAACAAACATATTAATCTATCGTAAACAACTGTTTTTTGTTTTTTTTGTTGGCGAGGGCTAGTTTTGTTCGGATTACTGATATAGATGATAATTATATTGTTTTGGTTGTTTAGAAATTGGAATGATCTCTTATCTCAATAAATAATGATGCAACTATTGCCATAACTTATCGCCGTTCTATAGAATGAAGTGTCAATATTGAAAATTCCTTTACAATGATAATTACCACTTGTGTTTCAATATACAGTATTAAACGATTGCCTTGAGAAAAACCCATCAAACTTTATCCGGATCCGAACCCGGAATCCTTTAGCATACAAGGCTCATGATTAAATCAATATAGGCTCAGTACTGTGACAAATCCAAGTTACAGTAGCGCTTACTGAGGAAAGATTTTTATTGAGAAGCTTTGGCTCCATTGCTCCTTACATTTACATTTTAGCTTTTGCTTATCAATTTCTCCCATCGGACCTTTTTAACAACACATTTCTAACGTGTATTAAGAACTTGACTGCCGTAAAAAGGAAATATACAGTGCCCTTCTACTAGATTTTTCTTCAGAAACACGGTACAATAAAACAATAACAAAAACAAAACAAAACAAAAATCGTGTAGGCTCTATGTTCACACTAAAAAACATGAATATTCTTATACTATAAATTGACAACCGTAGGATTATGGGATTTTGAGGTATCAATATACAAAAGCCATTATTGTAGACCAAGCTTCAGAATTAATTCATTCACAAGCTTAATTTTATCATCAAAACTATGATTCCCTTTCTCCGACAAAGTCATTTAACTCCAATGTTATGCTGTGCAACAATGTCTTTTGAAAGAACTGCGTCTCGGGCTATTTATACTCTCCATATCATGATGATGGATTTAGCCCCTAAATAATTAAGTTGTTCTGTATTATTTCCTGTTAAGTCATGTTGTCACAGTACAAACAGTACAACATTCATTCAGAATTATCCCAAATTATGTGTCATTGATGTTTTCGCTATGGGTTGACGCGCTGTCGCATCGTGTTGTTTATTCGTAATCGAAATGTAGATACCCCGAAATTTCCATCATAGCCCTAATAATTTAAAAGATAGCACGTAAGAGGAACGCAGTGTAAATATACAGGCGGTTACTTAGCGTTGAAGGCAGAGAAGAGGTTTGCGGCAGCATTGGCGCTAGCGAGAGAGGCCCACTTAAATATTATAAAATCACGTCATGATGTTTTTTCTTGCAATCTGTATTACACATGCTGGTGACTCATCCAATTACTGTAATTATAAATGACAGCGCGCCGATTAAATCGTTTTCAATCGATTTCCTAAAGCTATAGTCGGAAGTGGAAATGATAACAGCTTTTATGAAGTCTCCGCATCCTCTGCCATATGTTTGTTTATACTTTCGTAATCGTTGATTGGTCAATTTATCTTGCGATTAAGTCTGCTGTAAAAAGTAGAAACGGAAGTTTTCGATTTGCCTGTTGACCAACCATAAGTCAACTTGTTAATGCGATAAGATGCATGTTTCTGAACTTCTGCACACCACCACCCTGTCCACAACAATTAGATTAGCATAGGATTGTAAGCACACAAACACGTCTAGCTTAACCAACTTCAGTACCAATTTCACTTAACCACTATACAAAATATAATATATTAATTCCTATGACCATTCTGATAATACTAGACTAATGCTTATTACTGCTCTGATAATTTATACGGTACTGTATATCTGTGTACCTAGTTAATCTATTTAATCCTTATACACATGTATGTCTAGTACCGTAACTCTGCCAACTGCTTTACAAGTGAACAGATGGATTCTCTAACCTGAAATCTTTTTTGAATCTTATAGGCATAGTTACTGCAGACAGTTGTCCGAAATGGAAAGAGCAAAGACGGTTTACGTTACATGCTCTCCGTAACTTTGGCGTGGGAAAAAACAGTCTTGAGGGGAAAGTGATGGAAGAGATTGGATACTTATTGTCTGCAATGAGAGAAAAGGGCAAGGCTGCATTCAACATGGATCACTTTCTGGAGATAAGCGTCTCTAACGTCATATGCAATGTGTGTTTTGGTCGCCGATTTCAATACAATGAAGCCTCATTCCAACTCCTCGTCGACTCCATATACAGATTCTCGGAAATCGGCACCACCGCCGCTGCAGTCAACTTCTTCCCGTTCTTACGACATTTCCCGACTCCTGAACTCAAAGAGGTCTTTCAGATAAACCAGGTTATGCAAAAGTTCCTTCATGGCATGATCCATGACCACAAACAGACATACGATCCAGAACTGAAGCGGGACTTTATTGACGCTTATCTGGGAGAAATTAAACGCAGGGAAGTTGAATGTCCAGAACAGCAAAACTTTTTTAATGAAACATACCTCTTCCATATTATTAATGACCTTATTTTCGCTGGTACTGAAACGATGAGTTCAACTCTTAGATGGGCCCTTTTGTATATGATTGTCTTCCCCGACGTCCAAGAAAAAGTCCAAGCCGAACTGGACAGAGTTTGTCAAGGTTCTGTGCCATCATTAAAAAACAGACCTAATCTTCCATATACAGAGGCCACTTTGATGGAGATTCAGCGAATGGCAAACATTACTGCATTGTCTTACCCCCACAAAACGACCGAATCTACAGAACTTTGCGGTTACAATATCCCAGCTGGGGAAACCATATTTGTCAATTTGTACTCTGTTCATGTTGACCCAAAATGTTGGAAAGACCCGGAGGTGTTTAGACCAGAACGGTTCCTCGATGGAAATGGCAATGTGATCAGTACGCAACCAGGACTTATGCCATTTTCAGCAGGTACGTGAGTGTTATGACAACATACGTTTAGTAATTTAATAACAGGATTTCGCATGCTTACGACGAATACGAATACGTCATTTTTATTATCGTCATTCGTGCCTAAAACATATTCGACAAAACATATATAGCTGAATATGATATTTGATGAAAAATACATGGATTGCGTAGGTTACGTTGTGACAGATAGGGATGGACTGACTAAAAACTAGCAACGGTATTAGTTATCGTTTCTTAAGCTTGCGATACTCCCTAATAATACTTAGGCCTATTCATAATGTACCGTAGTCATTAAGATAAGATACTGTAAAGGCTCAAATAGTTTAATCCGATTTATGTATATCAGGCTTCTGATAAAATTATGCTTGCGTATACCCCCAATCGTATTTGGTGTTGAGGTAGGTTACTTTTATAAATTTCATTAAACAGTTTTGCCTGAATTTCACTTTTAGTCTAAAGGAACTCAAAACAAACCCATGATTAGTATGTTGCAAAAACTACAATGGAACATATGAGTCAACAACACCATTTGATTCAAGATAAATATTCAATTTTTGAAGACATTTTTAACATCCTGAACTTCCATCCCGTGATTGGCTGTGATGAGAGTTGAATAGCTATGTTAATTTAGCCTATATGCGACTATAAACCGTCGGAAAGAAACACACTGTGTTGTGACGAGCATAGAAGAGAAGATGTATCTGAATTATTTTAATTAAAGACTTTTTATTTTGATATTCTAACTTCTAACATCGTATTATTATTTGTCTGTTATTCCATTAAGTGCCTCATTAAGTCCAAGGTAATGAAACGCGTTGCCTCATCAGATTTAACTACTGACGTTTAGATCTATTGTTTATTTGTTGGTTTGATTAGGCTACAAATCTATGAATGTATTATTTAGTAATAATGTATTGTTATTTATTTCTTCAGGTCGCCGTGGCTGTCCCGGTGAAACTATGGCTCGTATGGAACTATATCTGTTTTTCACAAGCTTATTTCACAACTTCAAAATCACCTCATCACCTGATAATCCTTCGCCTAGCATAGCAAAACACTACGGTATCAGCCTCAACCCTAGTACATTCAACATCTGTGTCTCGGAAAGATGAAAACAGCTTTGCTACCAAACTTGTGTGGCCGCAACACGGACATGACGTTTCAACAAATTACTTAAATAAGCAATCAATTGTACAATTTAGCTTCTTTACAGAATAATACAGTATACCTTAAAACCATTCATTGAGAACATAAATGGGCTTATTTATTAAGACTATCCAAAATACTCTCGTCGCTTCTGCTTTCGGCTCTTGGTTTGCTAAAAATAGGCCTATGTGACTTAATTCAATAATTATCAACGTGACTTCATTTCACAGAGTTTAAAAGCTTGTAAGTTTATTTTCACTTACTGAACTATCAGGCATCCCAAGGTGTCTCATGTCGAAACACACTGATTGATAGAATAAAGAAAATTATATTCCTAATACAAAATTATCGACAAACATAATTTGAAATCAAATTTTAATGAAGATGAATTAACTGCATGGTGTTAAGAGAGTATTTCCGATGTATTTGTTTTTAGATTGTAACGGAAGAGACGTTTTATCACAACTTTTAGTGTTATTCATACTGTAGGCTACTCATTTAAGTGAAATGTTTTTCTATTTGATTGAACTTGGTCGTTTGATTTTCATTTATATTTTGATGTGTTTTGTGATGTATTTGTATTTGATGTGTTGATTCCGAAGTGAATATTTTTTTAAATTTTCATTTGTATTATTATGTGTTTTGTGATGTATTTATATTTGATGTGTTGATTCCTAAGTGAATATCTTTTATGTATCTTCGTTAAGGTTTTTTAATAAATTGAATATGCATAGGTTTACTTATAAGGAGGCCTATGGTATCTGGATTTTAAACACTAAAAAAAAACAAACTTTGTACTGTAATTCTGGTTAAATCGAAAGTTCGACCTGACGCGGACGTATTCGGGCGCAGATATAAATTAAGGTGGATATATTTATTTTTAACAGATGTAGAAGGATGATAAATGCGAGCTTGTGTGACCTCATCTATATAGTAACTAATTTTATTATCCAGTGGCCGAATGAAGGGGGTGGCACAAGGGGAGCCCCGCCACCACCAATCTACCTGTAGCTGTACAAAAAATCACAATGTGTGAAATCATTTACACTAGAGATTAAAATTGCTAAAACTCTAAAGCTACTAGGAGGCGAAACCAACTGTACCTCTTCAGAGTTAGATACGTGATACGTGATTGCACTCGCGCCACCCCGGGAAAAAATTATTGATCCACCACTGTTATTACCGGTATTTTGTTTACTTTATATACTTAATTTGTGAAGAAAATTGAACTTACACTCATGATGCAGATATAGGCCTATGAGGGGCCTAGGCCTCAGATTATCATGGCGAATTGTTATAATAATGCCCGTAATTGTATATAAGATATTGAAGACTGTCTTACTATTTATATATTTATAAGATTGTACATTTCATCATCTGTTTAACCATGTTAAGTATTATTAGAAAACAAACTTAATAAGAGAATCATTGAAAATATAATGGGTTGCATTTTTTCTTGATATATACTCTTATAAATGTTGTGGTTTTAAATAGAAAATACGAAATAAATTATATACTATTAAAACATGATGACTTGTTTTATTCATTTAATAATTTGTTCATGATTATTGTCATGAATGTCAGATTACCGCATTGGAAATTTATTTGGACTATCGATAATTTTGTGAAATAGAAGCGGTCACGTAACTTCAGTGTCCGTGGACATTCATTTTAGAAGGAGAGTGATATACCTCCGTGTAGGCCTATGCATGGTGTTGGATATAGGAATTGTTTAATTCGTTCACTTTTTAACACAATTTCCGTTTGTTCATATTTGATTAATAATAACAATGATGACAAACCTGCCAATTGTCCTGATTTAATCGGGATCGTCCCGGTTTCCGATACCAAAAACACCTAAAAATCGGGACGTCCCTATTTTTAGAATTAAAAAAAAATTACATTGTAAGAAGTATCCATTATTTGCCAGTGTCATGAAGGAAATATTAGTCCGTAGTTCCCCGGGTATAAATCCCACCCCCACCCCCACCCCATGAACGCGAAATTGGCCCGATTTGGTTTTTTTTGGGGGGGGGGGGTGGGATAATACCAACCGGGGATTCCCTTGTGCACGAACAGAACGAAAATGACGATCGTTTTGCGAGGTGGCAGATGCATTTCAACAATTTCCCTACGATTCAATAACCTATCAAAAACAATATTCCGGCGAAGAAATCAGTATTTACTCGAGCATCAAATTAAGAGAACAAGACCAATTCAATTCAATTCAATTCGCCGTACTTGCGCATTCCCATTCAAATCTTACGGTCTTACGCAAACACCGGCAAAACTTACGCTTATCCTAAAATTTGAGTAAATTTTGTTTCTTTTTCAATTTGTAATGAATTTTACTATAACTAACATTCATCATCATAACATTCTACCTCTATGATTCTCCCCATGATATCGCCATATTGACTACAATAGTCATCACTGCGCCCTTTCTCGCTATGTGTTTGGCCTTTGAATACACAGTCGTTCCCTGCGGTAACATAAGAAGGGAAGATGCCTTTCGTTATCTTATACTATCTTTCAATAACTACTGTATCTGAGATCATTATAAACTCACTAATAATATCGATTAGATAGGCCTAGGCCTATGCTATTTAAGCCAAAGCGTTCCAGGGGCCCAGACGGGGGCCCTTGGCGACCCCCTGGCCCCATACTCTTGTTTTTTAAAGTTAAGCCCCGATGATACAAAGATGTTGAGAAAAACGTATATTTCAACATTTTCAAGCAATAATCAACAAAATCAACCGATGTGTTTTACGATGATTTACTGTATTAGGATGTAAAGTGCACCCTTGGATAAAATTATTTATTCTCCGTAGAATACGTTTTGAACTAACGCTTCAGCTAACACCTAACATTAATGAATTTACGAACGTTTGTGGAGACCTTGCAGAATATATCTGATATTGCTCTCGGGGGTCTGATTATTGTACCGTCAAGTATGCGAGGTCCAATCGAAAAACTCCTAATAATTTCGGACAAATTACTCAAGTCCCTAATAGCATTTCCCTTGTGACACGTTCGTTCGCGCAGTATACAGATCATCAGTTGGCACGATATTGGTTTACTAGCTGCGTCGTAGCCAATCACATAAAGAAGCGTAGGCCAATAGGAGTCTTTATTTTTTCAACAGGTCTATCATATCAGCAGGGACGCCGAGGGCCCCAGGGCCCCAAGTGCGGGGGGGGGGGTAGGAGGTACAGACACCCAGTGGGGGTTTTGGCGGGCCCCGAAGTTACGGCGTTAGATGCCTAATTCGGACGATTAGAAACATAACATGCGAATGTTGTTCAAAATATTGTTTTTCCAAATATGTCTTATTTATTTTTAAAAAGTTTGTAGCGGGGCATTGGGAA